TGTGGGGACCATCGAAGGGCAAGTCGCCTTGCGGCACCTACTGGCCTCACCCCAAACGACTGGACCGATGCTGCTGGGAAATTCAAGGGCAATGTGGGAGTCCTATGCTGGACCCTACGATGCTGAAGACTGTGGTGAGGTAGCAGCTCGTACGAACGGAATACTACGCTGTAAAGATGGACATTCAAGGAGAAACCAAAGAATTCGAGATTGGACTCGACGTTGAAACGCAAGAAGCTAGCTGAAAGGGTTTTTCAAGATATCGGACAAGAGTTACATCAATGACTCCTTTTATCGAACCGCTAAGATGCCGAGAAGGATGGAGAATTCGGAGTGTACTATGAAGTGGAGAAGAATGTTCCTGAGAAGGATCAAGACAAAGGAAATGGAATAACGGTAAAGATGTGGTGGATGACTTATGGAAATCTACGATGAGATGTAAGTCACGGAACAAGTCGACGGACCACAATGGCGAAACAGCTTTCATGATTGGGGGAAAACAGTTCAAGGGCAGATACAGGAACTGTGGGAAGATCGGACACAAGCAACAAGAATGCCCAGACAAGAAAGGCTCGAACGGAAGAAGCTACGGAAAAAGGTAACAAGGAAAGTCAAAAGGTAAATTCAGCAGGAACAATGAGAGCAGTAGCGGATTTCAAGGAAAGAAGAAGTTCAGCGGAAAGTGCTTCCACTGTGGAAAAATTGGGAACAGGAAATCGGATTGACTAAAACACAAAGCGGAACAACGAAACGCAGAAGGAGCGAACACAGCTCAAGAAACAACGGAAGAGGTGGCATTCATGACGATGAGGGATGAAATATGCATGCCATGCCGAGGAGTAGAGTTGTCGGACGATGAAACAGGAGGAATAGAAGAAGCATCGGAATAAGAAGGCAAAGAATGGGACGCATTCTGGGACGATTTTGAAAGCGGAAATGACGTGGATGAAGATGGAGAAAGCTAGGAGCAATTAACTTATGAGGCGATGTACGCCCTTAAATCTCTCCTAGAAGAACAACAACGACTTACTAAAGAAGAATCAGTCTCATACAACAAGAACCCAGGCGTTACCTATCTGTCCTGCGACACAGAGAGCAGGGCAGATACCGACAGCGAAACACACCACGATATAAAGCAAAACGGCTACAAAAAAGAAGTTTCTGAGAAGAAGGAGAAACAACGAACGAAAAATTCGCACACAATCTACGAAGACGACAACTGCTACAGCTGTTTGAGCGAAGTCGGACTCGAAGAAGTAGGAGATGTCGAACAGATTCCAAGTTGCCCGGAACGTGCTAGAGGCACAGCTGTACAGAGGTTGGAGTCGACACATGATGAAGATCAGCAAACATCCAATCCATTGAGCAACCGACATCCCATGAACCGAGCAACCGAAGGATGGGAATTGGACGATTCGCACATAACAGGTATACAGTGGAGGAGGATCGCGGAAGAAGCATGCCAACTAATCCCCGAGTACGTATGGGAAGGGCACTCGAGCCCAGAGATGAAGCAACTGGTCGGAAACTTCGAACAGTTCAGATGGTTGCTGAGGGCGATGCCATACGAGATACAGAACAACCCCATCTCGTGGAGCTCCAGGCGGAACTGCTAGGTTGGGTCAGCAGTTTGTTGCTCTTTCGCGATTGGACTCCAGACACGACAATTATCGCAGGGGCTATGTTAACGTGCAAGATAAAGCGCGGACAAAACGTCAGCGAAGGAACAGGAAACGCAGGAATGTTCGGGTTCATCTCTCTCTTTTGTTGATCGAGTCCAGCAGTATTCCAGCAGCCTTGCTGTTCTTCTTCTGCAGACTTTCGACCTTTTCCACTTCATCGTCCCACAACTTGCCCGTACCTGTAGGGTTTTCCCAGTTGTCCGGCTTGATCTCCGTAGAGTCCTTCATCAGTTCTACGTACCCATACTTTGATAAATGGGCCATCATCTTGACCTTGTAGAACCTGAACTTCTCATCTTTCCCATCGAAGATGGGATACTTGCTCGACGATGATACCTCTAACTCCGTAGACATCTTTACTTACTTCTCAACTCTTCTCTTTTCTGTTTGACAACCTGGATCCAAGCTCACTCTTTCCTGATAGCTATCGTTTTAAAACGTGTTGAAAAGGTGTGAACTTGAACGCACAATTTCTCTAATTTAATCAATATCCTTCCAGCTCTACTGTCTAGTAGACTGGCTATTCGTTTCGTTTTCTCTTTCTCTCTCGTTCAGATTGTGAGCTCTACAACTGAGCTCCGATATGCATACATATACCAGGATCTTTATATACCAGGATCTTTCGATCCTCTGTTTCTCGCAGTTTCATCTGCAGATAGATCTCGTCGATCTATCTTCCTGAAGTGCATGGTTGGCCCTGGAGGGCTTTCCCACTTTACTAAACCTATGGACCTTCATCCGTCCATTCATTTGTTCCGTCCCATCGCTCCTTGCATTCATCTCTTCGACCTAACTTCCTAACCTTTGTAGTTGCATCATCTAGACGACCATTGTCCTCGTTCCTCGTACACCTGGCCATCTGATGATGATCGGATAACCATCTGATTTGAGTCACACATCCCCAATCACGAACCGTGACTGTGGATCCCGAGTCGTCTGTCTGTCATACGAAAATACCTTTCTAACAGTTGGGATGCAATTTTTCGGCCGCCGCAAGATCTTTCTCGAGCCCCACGGATAACTCAAACCAAACTAACGACTGGAAACTAAAAAGGAGGGAAGCCTACTACCATCAATATAGAAGACAAGAGACAAGCAAGTAATAAATACCACAGTCAGTATGTCATCTGAAATTAACCCCGAGACTGGCGAGGTTGTAGTGGGACGGTCCCCGAGGTTTTCTCTGTGGGTAGCATTTCTGGTGTTTAGTACGGTGACACTGGGTTCTTCGGTGGAGGTGAAGAATGATCTGGAAGAAGTGACCAGTGATGCCAAGTGGGCGGTAGCCTGCTCTTCCATCACGTTTGCGTTGACGACAGTCATGGTCATGTTGCAACTTCATCCTTTGTATGCAATCATGGTAACCAACAATAAACTGGAGGGAGTCATCTGCATCATCTTGGTGGCCTTTTGGAGTGGCATTGTGTCCATTGTGTCGGATGCGGAAAACAATTTGGCCGTCAGAAGGTACGTACCGTTTCCATTAAGTTTTGTATATGGGGGTAGTATTCTATTATTTTGATCTTTTGGTTCTCATCTCACGGTATACCCACATCATTGCTCTTTCCTTTATATATTTTCTTTCTACCCCACAGCTCCAACAACAATGAATGCAACAATACGGTTCTCAATGGCAACTTGTACTACTTTTCATGGGCTGCCTTTGTCGCCAGCATTTGCCTACTGGTGTCGTATCTACGGTCCGTCTTTGGATTGGATTTGGTGGGAGAAGTGCAGAATCGATCCCAACGAATGGAACTCTGGGGTGGCCTCCTGGCGTGTTCGTTGGTCGTCATGGGAGCCAGTGCCAATATCTTTCAGATTGACTGCAAACCCGTAGAGCCGGGCTTGGAGATTTATTGCCGACGATGCACATTTGGTATTAGCATTGGGACCATTGGAGCATTCTTTGCGATTGTGGTGGTGGGCATGAAATTGATTACCAGGACGGCGTCCTTTTTCTTTGAGGGCATGGTGGCACTCATTCTGACCATTTTGAATGCCTGTGGGGTGGCCTTTATCACTGTAAGAAAGCAAGCAAGCAAGCAACATGGCTTTGTTGTTTGGAGGAAAATACAGTGTTCCCGTCTCGTCCTTTGGAAACTCATTATCATGGACTCATTTCTTTCCTTTTTCTGTCTCGCCATGCAGTCCGCAAAGGGACCGGGAAGCTCAATGTAGGTTTCCAGCTATCAATCTGAGTTGGTCGTTGGTCGTTTTGAATGGAATCTCACCCATTCCCAATACTGCATTATTCCACTTCACAGAGGCAACTTGTATTATTTTACTTGGTTTGTGAGTCTGAAACTTGTTGGTATTTGATTGAGTCCCCGTGATTTGTTTGTTACTCATCAACTTCTTCTTGTCACACTGTTTCTCTCCCAGTCCTTTCTTGTTTCTTTGGCGATTGCATCTTCCTGTTACAGCGACATGACTTCTGTCAATCTACAGCAAACAGGTCCTGGGGATGATGCAGAAAAGGCCGACAGCGGGGACATCCAGATTGAACAGCTACCCCCCGATCAGGAACAATTCTAGCTAGCTAGCCATAGTTGACATACGGCAATAATGAGAAAGAGAAGAGGCTCGCTTTGAAGGAAAGATTGATGGGAAAAATCGACAACACACCAATTACGTTACAAAGAGTGCAAGAGCAATCGATGATACAACTCAACTTAGGAAAAGGTGTCTTTAGGGAATCAGCACTGAAAAAGCATATACCGGTACATGTAATAGAAAAAGCTCCTGGATGGATTGACTCAATCGTCGACCTACTTTCCGAGTGCTTAGAAAAAAGGATTCGATTCGGAGAGGGTGGCTCGATCCTTTTGTTGAGGCTAGCTCTTCCTAGTCCGGAGCTGTTGTTCGGATGGATGTGACCGTGGCCTGGGGGTGCCCATGATACAGCAACAAGCGTCGTCGTGCTTCGGCCACAGCATACGGGTAGCCGAAACAAAGCATAGCGTCGTACTAACAGCCACGGCCTAGCAAGCAAGGGGAATGGATGCAACACGTTCCTAATTTTTATTTTTACATATTTTGTGTCGGAACAAGCTACATCAAGATCACAGGGACGATTGTATTCGCTCCATTTGGTTGGTTGGTTGGGGGAGGGGGGCTGATTTGGGAAGGGGGTTTTGGTTTGTGCTGTGTTTTGGGGTCACCGGCGAGCTACAACAGCTTGGCGACGGCCTGATAGATCGGTGTGTAGTCCGTGGCATCTCCCTTGTGGGAGTCCCCGATTGCTTGTACATGCCACTTGCCATCTTTGTGGCCTCCAGACACCCGGTAGAGTCGGCACATGACGACAGAGGTGAGATAGGAAACTTTGTCCTGCGCAGCCAGATCGTAAGTGCACAACTGTGCCTTGTCTTCGTCTGCGTCAGCGTCGTCGAAGGAAACAGACGGAGACAAAATGTCTGCCAAGGTGGCCGAAGCCCAAGCTGATAAGACGAAGACACACGAGGTCACTCCCGCGTCCACCCGCGCCAGATCCAAAGAGATTGTGTGTGTGCCTCCGTCGGCGGTCATGACATCTCCCGAATGGACGACCGCGCCTTGTGACCCCTGGCGATTTCGATAGTCCACTGTCTCCAAAAGTTTCTTTCCTTTATAGAGGAGACAGGTGGCATCTAGGTACTTAGTGCCGCCCTGGAATTTCCACGTATCGCGGAAGATCACTCGGCGCAAGTCGGAGTTTGCGCTGTACTGCTCGCCTTTGGACAAGATGCGGCTAGTACCCGAGGCCTGGACCCGATTGAAGTCCATGCCAGCGGTGTGATACTTCTTGCGTCGGGAATTGGCAACGTGACAGCGCAACCGACGGGCCATTTCGGCTTTGCTGGATGGACAAGGCAATCCGACAAAGCCAATGAACTTCTGCCATGTCTGGACCGTCACGATGTGATTGATCTGATCCCGGAAGTGGCCGAACCCGACGGCAGAATGAGGTGTGGGACCCTTGGCCACAGCCTCGTCCTTGCTTCCGGCGGCGGCAGCAGGGGCATCCGCCACAGCCTCCATCTCCTTTGGCTCTGGCTGGCCAAAGAAGCAGTCATAGCGGTTGGCGCGTTCTTGGGTCGTTCCTTTGCAAAGAGCCTTCAGGAAGTAGACGTGAAACATCATCAGCCTCAAGTTGACAATAGACGCCTGGAGCGTGAGCTCGACGCGTTGCTCAGCTTCAGCCTCCGATTCGACTACGCCAGTGATAGAGTCGTGAGTTCGTTCGAGTTGGGGGAACTGCTTGCAGGCCCACAAGACCATGCGGTCGAACGTCTCCCTGACGTAGGCAATTCGGATTTGTGGCCAGCCCATCACTTTGTCGTCCACGATCATGAGGAGAGGAAGGATGGCCCCGAGGTTGGGACAGGCGGACTTGACCCGGTTCTTTTCGTCCGCAATGAAGAGCTTGAGCCGGCGCAAGGCCTCCGTTTGAATCTTGGGATATTGGTGCGCCAACGCCAAAAACAATCGATGGATGCGGGTGATGCCATCGTAGCTCTTTCGGCAGGCAGCAATGCCCTGATCGCTCAGCAAAACCACAAAGGTGGTAACAATCTTGGGGAAGACGTCCAAGATCATGAAGGGGTGGAAGCGAACAAAGGTTCGATCGCGTCTGTCTCGCGCCAGTGCGACGATTGTCTTTTGGATGCGGGGAAGAGCTCGCTGGAAGTGCTCTTCCGAGAAGTACAGTGGCAGGAACAGCTTGAAGGAGTTCCCGAATACGTCAGTTCGAACGCGATTCTGAACGAACGCAGTTTCACTCAGGAGGTCTTGGGACAGTTCAACGTGGTCAACGGTTTGGCGCTTTGGATTGACGGTGTAGTCCACCAAAACACCCAACACATCCTCCATGAAGGTCTTTTGGGTGGAGAAGCAGCGCAACCGGTCGACAATGTTGGTGAGGCTGAGCTGATAAGCCGTCTTCCATTCCTTCATGTTTTGGGGTGAGAGAGAACTGGCCGGGAATCGTTGGCGGAAGAGAGACTGCCAGAGGTAGCCTTCCTCACAAACGGTTTTGGCGCTCTTGCAGGTGGAGCCGAGCTTGACCATTTCCTCAGGGCGAAGGAATGAGAGAATGCCGTTGGTGAGGACTTCGTAAGGCAGGGCAAGCAAGAGAGAGTCGCCGGCTGGGCTGCTGCGGTCCGTCTCGATAGTATCTTCAGCGCTGCTCTCAGTGGTGATTGCCGTCTCGTCGGATATGGAAGCTGTTTCTTCGTCATCATTGATTGTCATGCTTTGTACCTGCTGTTGAAGCAGAGCCGCTTTGTCTTGGAGCAAAGCCACCTTTTTCTGCAAAAGAGTGGCTTTCTCTTTCATCAAGCGTTGCTCGGCTCGCTTTTGAGATCGAGCTTGGTTCTTGCGTTGGCACTTGGTCAGCTTTTGCTGCCGAAGGGTCTCTTCCTGCTCTTCAAAGGGCCGTTTCTTGGATTCCACAGACTTGGCCTGATGAAGCTTCTTTTCCAAGGACTTTGGCAGGTAGAATGCGTTGGAAGTCAACGCAGCTTTCTTGGAAGGGGGCTTGGCCTTCGCGACTGCCGCAGGAGGTGGCTTGGTCTTGGCGGGCTTTTTGGAGCCGACACAGAGCCATCCCATGGCCTCGGCGGCAGGTTTCTTCACGACATTGGGTTGTTGGGAGGGGCCGGGGGCTGGCTTCTTTTTCTTTTTGACAATTGCCTTCTTCTTGGGGACAGTCTTCTGCTGACTCAGACTCGTTTTCACCGCGGACGAAAGAACAGTGGTGAGCAAGTTGTCTTTGGTCATTTGGAAAGATTTGAAGGCTTGTTTTCGTTTTGTAATGCTGAAGGCTTGATTTGTGAGATTGTTTGTTGTCCAAAAGACCAGAGCGTTTTTCTTGTCGTGCTACCGCTGCCCTTTGACAGCGGGTTTGAGACCTCAAAGGGCTTGTTTGAAACGTACTATCATAGAGCAGAGGGTTGTGCCCTTACCTTTGCGTGCGTACGGTAGGCGAGCTTTCTCCGTTGTCACAAGAGGGCACCACCATCAAGATCCTGTCCTCTGAAGTCCAGACTTGCATTGTCAAGAACGTCTCGATTTCGATTCGATTCGATCCGCATTGATTAAATCATCGGGTCTTAGCTCTCTCTACTCCATAGTAAACCCGATCTATTCTTAAATCATCGGGTCCAAATAGATTTGAAGGGTCCACCAGAGGCTTCAAACGAGCAGTCACCAGCATGGATTTTGGTAGAAACAGCAGGAGCAAATGATGGGCACAACCGGGACAACCTCTAAAGGATCCAAGGATCCAGGGCTTGCCCCACAATGCATGTTACTATGATTATGAACTACTAGCTAGCAAGTACGACTACAACTACTATAGAGAATGAAGCCATGATTTTTGCTGGTAAAGATTGTCTACTATGTGTTATTGAACTATGTTTATGTTTGTTTGTATTTAAGATTGTAGCATCAACAATGATAGAGGTTGGTTGTCAGGTGTCACGGGTATTAACTTTGGACTTTCGTCTCGTGGAGGACGTTTGGACAAGCACTCTGCAATAGAGGCTGCCTAGCACAGGAACCACAAACCTGGCTACCTTTGATGTGACCCTTCAATTGAACCAACTGTATTCATCTCCGCAAAATTGTTGTATAGCCCTGCACCCCACCAGATGCTTGCTCATTGTGTATTGTATAAATGTGTTAGTCTCCAAAATCCGCCGTCGTCGCCCCCACTTACCTGTTGTCCTAGACTGGAATGTACCGGTCAGGCTTTCGTATTAGCCGCCCAGAACGAAGCTTTGTTGTCGTCTGAACTGATGTTGTCGTCTGAGCTGTTGTTTGCTGCTGTGTGTCCGTCACAGGTCTTGTTGCTGTCGTTTTCTTGCTCTTGGCCTTTGTCTTCTTGCCCTTCCCCTTTGGCTTTGTCGACTTCTTGGCTGCCGAGCGTCTACGTGTATTACTTCTAGGTTGCTCTGCCACTCGCCGAGGCTTCGTCTTGATTTGTTCTGCGATTCTCTGAGATGCAATCGCCGCCATGCGTCTCTTTGACCGCCGCAATGTTGGTTGTGCTGTGTCCACATTGTCCTCCTCATCGACTCCGTTGTCAACCAGTGGTTCATCAGCATCAACTTGTTGTTGTTCCTCCACCTCGACCAATGGTTGTTCAGCTACCACTTGGCCAGTCACAAATTCGTAATCCATCTCGTCCGAGGCAACGCCTGCCTCCAATCTTGGTGTCTTGTGCTGCCGAATCAGTTCCTTGACAATGTCTCCACCATCCTCCATCAATGCCGCAAGAATGTCGTTGGGCACCACTCCAAGTAGCACACCATTCATCATTCGCATCTCCAATACAAATGGTTGTTGTCCATGCATACTGATCTTGAAGTGTTTCACATGCCACTTTTGAACGTATGGAACCACTGCTGTGCATGTGGGAACCACCGCTGCTTTGCATGTGATTGTGGCATCGGATGCCATCTTGTTGTTGTCGTCGACGGTTGAGACTGTTTCTATTGCCTCGATGTCTTTAGTTGTTGTTGGTTGTTGTTCTACTGCTACAGGTACTGCATCTTCCATGCAGACATCCTTGACCTTGCGATAGACAAATCGTCGTTTGGCAATCTGTTCTCGCGTATTCAAGGTGCAAATTTCGTCGTCAGCGTTGCGCTGAATTCCACCGTGATGCAAGTGGCACATGGCGAGTTCGAACATGTAAGGGTTCTTTTTGTTGACCATGAACCAGTGCGAGACTTGCTTGTCGTTTCCGTTCTTCGCCTGGATGAAACGAACAAGTCCCTCGAGGTCTTGATGCACGGCATCAATTTGAATGTACAGTTGGGCTTTTTGTAGGTACGCTTTGTCACTTTGGAACCATAGGTTGTTGGTGATCCATTTGGCCACTTGTTGGTATCCGTACTCTTGAATCAACTGGACGAGATCCAAGACGCGTTCGTGGGGTGTCTGTGTGCCGACGGAAATGAATTGTTGTTGGGCTTCCTGCCAGAATTCAATTGTTGCCTGTGGCACATGTTTCTTCATGTCTCGATAGACACGGCTGTTTTCCTCTTGTTCGCTCTTGTCCGAAGAGTACCCCACTACAGTGTTGACGGGAGCAAAGGATAAACGGTTTCCATTGCTCCGTTCGGTGTCTTGACCGTAATGGCTCTTCCAGCGAGCGTTGGCTGATTGACTGGGTTGGATGCGACAGCCCTTGGGCCGGTGCTGGTTGTAGTTGTCGTATCCGTAGTGACCATGCTGATCCGAAGGAACCAGGGAAAGGTCGTAGGCACCTAGAAAGCGACCGTGCTGCTGGAACTCCACATCAGGACTCGTTCCATACGTGTGCAACAGTGCCGCGGTTTGGACGGCATCTTTGTCCAACTCGTCCAGTTGGAATGTTGGGACTTCCTCTGCCGCAGGAACGTCCTTGTTGTCGTTGTTGTTGCCCATCATCTCCTTGGCGACCTGGAGAACGGGGGTCTTCTTGATGTTGCTGTTGTTGTTGTCAGTGGTCCATGACCACGAGAGCAGCTTGATGATAGAAGAAGAGAACTTCATTTTGCAATTGATAGGTATTGAATAGAAGATTGGTAGAAAAGGTAATTGAAAGTAGGGGGGTTGATCTGGCCTAGGCTTATCAACAATCGCGAAAGTCTTCCTTGTTCGGTTGGGTATGCAACTCTAGCAATCCGGTTGAACAAAAAAGTGGGCTCATCATGGTGACATTCCAAATTGGGATGACAGATTCTGCCAGATGTTTGGGATGACGGATTCTGCCAGATGAAAAACAACAGTTGATGAGATGAGACTGAGCCACTGATGAGCACTGATTTCGTGCTCTATGTACCAAACAAAACCCAACAAGACCCTTCCTGGGCCTCTCAGAGTGCTTGGTTGTTGTGTTTGCATTGATGGCTGGATGTGGTGCTCTTTGATGGTGTTTTCAGTGATGTTCGGTCCCTTGACACCTTGACGGAGAATGGACCCCAGCGACGCGCGATTCAGTCGTAGCTGTAGACACGACTGCAAGATTTAAAATTCCCACGACTGCTTGACACCACCTTCCGAGGACGCCGGGTGATGCCTTCCAAGTTGACTGTTGCGGAATGCCTGAGGCCACAACGGAGAAATGAAGAGGAGGGAACGATGGACGAAGTCAGAAGACCAGATCACTGTACAGTGATGCCATGGTTGCCGGGAGCGTATCACCTACAAGGATGGATTCACCATAAAGCTCTACGCTGTATTTACCAATGAAGAGATGTGCTTCGATCTCGGAGAGTCGATTGTTTCCGTCAGCGTCAGCAATCTCCATGGAATCAAGACACTCAAAGAAGCGATCGAGCTTCTTTTGTTCCTGTTTCTGAACCCCAGTGTGCAGACGCCGAAAACCCCCCAACAAGATTGCGAGAAGCACAAAGAACTTCATTGTTCTGTTGTTTCTACTAAAACCTAGCCTGTGGAAGACAACGACTTTCCTGAGCTGCACTGATGAAACTTTTCTTTGGACTAGTGTTGGTTGGCTACGGACAGTACCTCACAACACAACAAGCCCCAGTCCGCGAGTGATCGCTTTGTTCATCCGGTTGTACACTCACCAGTATCTTTGAAAAGATCTCATCCTGAACCCTACTGAATGATCATTCTATTCCCGCGCCACGCTACTTTTAAAAAGCCCAAGCAACGACTGCGGTTACCACAGACCGCAGCAAATGTCTTGAGACCGGGAAAGATAATCAGCTTTGAGCCTGTTGATTATGTCTAGCTAGCTAGGAACTTAGCCTGGATACATTAGGTGTTCTAGCAGTAGATAAGTTACCTCGTCGGCCCAGAGTTTTGCTTCAGCAGCGAGAGGCACCATTTCGGTTTGAAGCCCATGCCAATGCCGTATTGCGGTTTGCTTGAGTGCGATGTGACAGGATTCACTAGCCTGCAATGAGAACAAACGACATAAGCTGCATCCTCGACGCAGATCATCTTTTCTCCACAGTCCAAGCACGTTGACACGACAAAGTTTCCCTTTTGGAAGGCCTCCCAAGTTTCCACAGCTCCTCGAAAGACAAACCCGTGACTCGATTCGACATCGAGTGGTTTGATTACTTGTCTCATCGGTTTTGTGCGATCGGAACACACTGAGTACACATTTTCGTCGTAGTCATCATCGTCATCATCGTCATCATCGTAGAATGAGAGTTCGTCGTCCGTTTCTGCGGTTGCATACTGGTGCCCTGTTGCTTCAGACATAGCACTAATTGTCGTATGCAGCTGCAGCGGCCCGATGCTTGAAAAAGAATTGCGACGTCCGTCAAGACACAAATCAGCGTTCAAGGTAAATTGGTTTGTCGTTCTGCCTTCTACGTTGTCATCCAAAATACACTTCAGAGCTGCTCCATCAAAGTTGTAGGGACTTGGATGGCCTCTCTTCATAGCTTGGCTCATCCTGGTTCTGTTTCTTCCGCTTGTCTGTGCTCTCAAGTGGGGAAGTGTCTCATGAGCTGGACTGCAGAGGTTGGACAGGTCATGGTGGACACCGTGTAGATAGACCCAACATGTTTGTGAAACAACTTGCCCATCCATTCTGCTTCTGTCTTTTCTTCGCTTAGTTTTCTATGATTCGATTCGATTAATGCGCTGACGCCAAAGTTTCTTTCATTCACCAAATTGATCCACATTCTTGCTTGATGATGGGGCTGAGAAACCCAATAGCCGTGTTTCCCAGCAGACCTTCCAATGCCCATCGGTCAAATCATGGATGCAAATAGGTTTGTTGGCTGTACGATTGCAGAGCATGTATGCATGAAATCAAAGCTATGAAGGACCGTTCTAACAAGCAACATTGCCCATCCTGCCAGGACTTCGCAGGGTGGAGTTTTTCAAAGCCAGGTGATTGTGTTAATCTTATCACTGAAGGGGTGGGAGGATGAGGGACGACGGGTTTCCGGCTTGTAAACTTGATGACAAGTATTTCGGAAGGAGGAGACTGAAGAAAGGAAAGGAGCAAAGCAGTCATAAGGCTTCCGAGGAATCCCTTAACTCTATCATTTGTCGATCCAGACACCACATCAGTTCAAGAGCTGGTTAAGGTCTGGCCGTCGCTACCCCAAGATCCAGCTTTGTTTTGCCTTAAATTTCGCCATTTCAGCTTTTTTTGCTTTAAATTTCGCCTTTCGGCCCAGGATAACACGATTTTTTGATGAAATCGACCAGAATTTGCCCAACCACAGCCAGACCTTAGACGGCAAATCCTTCATTTTGAACTGATGTGACACGTTCCCCTTTCCACGTGAGACGAGACACGGGTCCACGCCACCCCACTTCCCACTTCCCACAGCCATCCCGCAAGGCCGATGGTTGGCTTTTCCAGACAATGTCATTTTTTTTTTTTGCTTGGCAGGACACGGTTTGAAGCTTTTGACATCGTGCCATCTACATGTACGTATTTGCTCCAAACGAATGCCTCAACCGCAGACCATCAGGTTACTTGGTTTCAACGACCTCACATCTGATGTTCCATTGCATCACCGCATGAAGTGGGAAGTGTTTGGTTTCCCTTGTCTTCACGCACCAGCCTCATCATCGGCCGTGATCACTCATCCATACCATCCGCTGAAAGGAAAAGTATTTCTCCATGCGGCGCAAAATGGCCTAGTGAACATTGCGGCCCTGCCAGTTGGAAACCCCGCTGCAATTACATGTACATGTACCGCACATGATGCTCTACCGGTAGTGAAAAGCACCACCGCACACCTTGTTGTACTACAGGAGCAAAGCCTCAAAATCATCATTCTCGCAGAGGGTCGTTGGTCCTGCTGTCTGGACTCACCAGGCAGGCGCACCTGAGATGGACTCTTCAACAATCTGAATAATTGCAATATCCATTACATTAGCTTACACTACTATACAATTACTTTACTAGCTTCTAGTGCACAACATACTGGTAGTCGTCAGACAAAATCCTCCTCGATGTCCCGTGCTTCCCGTAAGGAGTTGTTCACCAACGCCGTGAAAATGGCCAGCATCCACAGGTGGTTTCCGCCGTTTCCATTGAACGAGGCGGCATGTCTGAGACCTCGATAACTCCTTCCCTCTGTTTGACGCATCTAGCATTTGCCGCCTTGTTCTTGATTTGGGCTGATCTTTTGTCCGTTTCCATTCCTTCATCAGAGCTGGTTGCGGCAAGTTGCTCTATTTCCTTCTTGTTCGCCTTTCCTGTCTTCTTCTTGGGCTTTCGTTTGCTCTTCTCTCTCTTTTGCAGCCCCGTGGTAGGACGAGTTAGACTTGTGTCTCCATCGCCGTGCCGATCCCCGTTGGCCCGTTGCGTAGAATTTGTGGAGCCTTCTCCAGAAGGTTGACCGGTTGCTTGCTCGCTGAACTCGCTGTCGTCGGGAGTTTCGTCATCAGTTTCGAGAACTCTGTCGTGTAATGGTGAGAAGCAATGCATGGAAGCGGTCACATCACCGATGCCATTCGTCTCCGGCGTGTCTTCTTTCTCCTGTTGGTAGCTCTTGCCCCCCTCTGCGTTTACCAATTTGGCTTTGTCTTCCTGTGCCGAGACTGTTTGGTCAACCAGATCCGAACCATCTACCTGGTCAACAAGCACCGCTGCCACCTGTTCGAGAGAATTGTTTTCGGGATCCTTCTCGCCCTTGAGTTTGTTTGATGACTCGGCGTCGACCATTTCTGTCGTCGCCAAAGTTTGACGAGCCCTTTCTTCAGTCCGATCCTTTGGAAGAGATGGCAGCTGCATAGAGGCTGCTGGTTCCTTAACAGCTTCCTGCCCCTTACCAGTGCCCAACCTTTTCTGCTCTGTGCGCTCTTTCTTCCTCTCTACAACTTTTTTCCATTTGTGCACTTCTGTTTGAACAGCTTTAGCGCCCATACTTTCCTGCTTTTCCTCCTCTGGAGGCTCTGTTGATGCCACCCTATACTTCGAATGAGATTTCTTGTCAAGCTCTAGCTTCTTGACCTTGTGCTGTTTGCTTTCGCCACCCTTGTCTGCCCCAAACGGCGATCCTTTGGAGGTAGGACTTGACGTCTCCCGATGTCCAGCCCCTAAATTCGCTTGTGATATTTTAGACTTGGCAGCACTAGAACATCTCGACTCCTCCTCATTAGACGTCAAATGAGCCTTTGAATGAGATTTCTTTTCAGTCTTCCCACATACAGCAGCTTCACCTTGTGATTTCATTTTCTTTTGCAAGTACCGCATACTTTCCCTCTTTACAAGCTTGGCATCAGTCCAGTCCATGGGTGGTTTTTTCCTTCGCTCAAAAGAACCTTTCTTGCCAATATCATCCCTGGGCGAACTCGAATTTACTGCTATTCCAGCTTCTTTCAATCCATCCATACAAACATTTACAAGCTCATTTGCAGCTGCTGCATCCACATTGGCCAGATCGGGTTCATTCTCCCTCAACCAAGCAATGGCCTGTTTCATAAACTTCCTGTTGGCCTCTGGTGACAGCTTCTTGGGCATTGGCAAACCGGTCAGCTTGGAAAATGCCCTCACAGTTGACTCCTCCACGGTCTCAAGCTCTGGATCATTCTCCCTGAGCCAGTCCAGTGCCTCCTCCACGGCCTTCTGCTGGGCTGGAGTCAACATTGGTTGCACTGCTATTTTTGCCTGCGTTTTCGCGAGTGATCTTGCAATGGCTGGGTTGTGTTGGCACAAGACGGAAAGTTTCTCTTGACATTGTTGGGCTTTTTCCCTCTCATTCAATTTCTTGTAGACTTGATGAAGGTTTGTAAGGGCAAGTGCTTTTTCGCGAGTTTGTACGTCTCCTGATATGGCTAAGGCTTGTTCAAGGTATTGTTGAGAGGCCTCCATGTCACCCTTTTGCAGCATCAGATTTCCGAGAGCCTGAAAGGTTTCAGCAACTCCTTCACCTGTTGCCTCTGTTTTCTGACCGTAGCTCGCCCCAGAGGCTTGTTGCTGCATTTTCAGGGCACGGGTCAATTGATCCATGGCATCGTCATGCTTTCCTCGGTCCACGTTCAATTTACCAAGGCTCATCAATGTGAAAGCAATTTCAGAGTTTTCTACGTCTTCGCCATAAAGCTTTGTGTGCAGGGCAATTGCTCGTTGGAAGCATGCATTTGCCTTCTCGTAGTCGCCCTGTTGCCTGTAGAATTCGCCCAAATCGGTCAGGACGGAAGCTAGGTAAGGATTATCGTCGCCCATAAACTGGAGCGATCGTTGGTACATGGCCAGAGCCTTGTCTGTCTCGCCCAAATCTCGGTACAGATTGCCAAGCAGATTAGCTGTAACGCCAAGTTCAATATTCTGCTCACCGTCATCACCAAACACAGCCAGCTGCATCTTATAACCCTTCTCAAGGTGAAACCTTGCATCGTTGTAGTTGCCTATTGTATGAGCCAGGGTTCCAAGGCTCACGTGACTCGTCGCGAGATCCCCATTTTTGGCTTTCTTGCCACCGTACACAGTCTCCTTCATAGCCAGGGACTTTTGAAAATATTCGCCCGACTTATCGTGCTGTCCAAGATTGAAACTCACAGTCCCAAGGCCATCCAGAACTCCTGCAATTTCAGAGTTCTCGGCGTCTTTGCTGCCATAAAAGTGATCAAGCATCTTGAGTGCTTTCTCGTAGCACAACTGTGCCTCCTTGTGGCGACCAGCATTGTCGTTTAAAAGGGCAAGACTCCGAAGGGTAAAGGCCAAGTCACTGTTCTTTGCATTTTTCCCGTAGATAAAGTACTTCATTTCCAATGCTTTTTCGTAGTAAGTTCTAGCGGCATCGTAGCCGGCTGCCGACGACAGATTTTGCAGACTCCCTAGCATGGTTTGAAGGTGTTCTTCTTTCTTTTGGTCCACCGAAACTTGACTATACAGCTTCAAACCCTGCTCGTAAAACTCCCTTGCATCTTCGTACTCCCCAATGTTATGCGCCAAGTTGCCCAAATTTTGCATGATTTGACTGAGATTGGCAATGCGGGGATCTGCTAGGGCACTTCGCTTCTTCAAGCTGCTTCGCCGTTCCTTGGCTTCAAAGTCTTGTTGCATTTCGAGAGCGCGGCGGTGATAGTCCCGACTCTTTTGCAGCTTGCCGAGATGATAACTAAGAATGCCCAGGCCATGCAACGTCCGAACGGTTTCCATGTTGCCTTGATTTTGATAGAATTCCGTCTGCATTTCCAGGGCAGTTTGGTAGTACTGTTCCGATTGCTCGTAACGACCATGATTCATCGACGACAATCCCAGCGCCGACAGAGTTGCTGCCAAGTCGGCATTTTTGGCATCCTTCCCGTAGACAGCGTATTTGCATTCGAGCGCTTCCAGATAGTATTTCTCGGCGGTGTCAAAGTGAGACAAGTGATCCGCCAACATGCCAAGGTTGTAGTAGGTCTCCCCCACATCCAAATTGCGAACAGCGATCGAATCGTCATTAGCGTTTTGAGGTTGCGCCGATAATGATTCTTTCCGATAGCACGCCTGTTTCATGGTCAATGCCTGTTCAAAAAAGGTCTGCGCTTGCACGTATTCGCACAAACTGTACGACAAACTGCCCAAATTGTTGAGTGTCGTGGCCGTCTCGAGACTGCCCCTGTCGTGCTGGTTCAGCTCTTGTTGCATCTCCAGCGACTGCAGCGAGTAGTCCCGTGCCGCCATCAAGTCACCTCCTTCTCGACAGACGCTCCCGAGGTTGTTGAGTGTCCGTGCGACCCGTTCGTGATTCTTACCCCCGTACCATGCCTTTTTGACTGCCAGTTCGTGCTCAAAGTAGATTCTGGCCTCGACAACTAGCGATTCTTCCCAACAGGCATGTCCGCAGGTGTGAAATAGTTGACTGAGCATGTTCCAATCACCCGGTTGAACATTGTCACGTGTTTGATGCAATTGGGGGAGTGGAGTTGTGGTTGCGGAGGAGTTGTTGTCTTTGTTAGTACTGCTTGCCGGTATGGCTTGTGATGATGATTGCTGTGCGTGTTCTAGATTGCTGTATCCGTACAGAGCCAGCGCTTTGAGGGAGTACGCTTTGGCTTGGGCATGATTCTCCTGCAACCGGGCACAAGTTCCGAGTCGATAATACATCTTCTTGGCCACTTTGGATTCTTCATCATTTAGCTGCTGCAGCTTATTGTTGTTGTTCTCCTCCTCCGCGTCATGACATTCCAGTACTACTTGCAATCCCTGCTGATAGGTTTCCTGTGCCTTGCCGTAATCTTGCAAGGGCGGTCTTTGCCATGTAATTCCCGTTTGCAGTAGCACATTGGCCAATTCCGCTCGAGGAAATGATGCCTGTTTATTGTTGTTGGTAACGTCACTCGTCATCATCATGAGTGTCTCGACGTGTGGTATCAGTTCGATAGGGTCAACATAGAACTGCTCTGACGAGTGTTTCTTTTTCGCGGCATGTTTGGACATGGGTGCCAGACAGGATTGCAATGCCAGAATTGTCGATTGTTGTGGTATGCATTTGTCGTCTTGCTGCCGTTGTTGAATGGCTCGTTGTAGTGGGATAGGTATGGAGTAATAATCGGAGTCTTGTCGGCTTTGCAGAATGTGCCACTCTTCCAGCAGAGTTAGTACATCACTGCTGTCCCCATGTTGCAGTAAGAGTGCCCGTGGGATGCAATCATGGTGCACAAAGGCGGCAGTCTCCAAGACCCTTTGACAAGACTCTCTTGTCTCTTGAGGATTGTCATTTTCATGATGATTGCTTGCCACTTGTAGTACCTGCTCCACGGAAGAGGACCAGAACCACGCCAGAGTGTCGTTGTCGTCGCCATCCTGATGATTGTAGCGTTCCTGGTAGTCTTGCATTTGTTGCACAAATTGCTTCAGCTGGAAAGCACCTTGATTTCCTAATATTCTCCCTTTTTGTAGCTGTTGGTGTCTCCACTGAGCCAATGCTACTTTGATTGCAAGTGGTAACTGTTGCAGTAGACTCACTAACGTCTGCCATGACTTTTCTTGTTTAGTACTGATGACATCCAAGCACGACAACTGATGAGCATCTGGTAGCGAAGATGGCACTTGTATACAGTAAAAGTCTTCCCCCTGTTGCCAGTCTAGATAGTCTTTCCGGGTGGTGGTGACAAAGGAAGGAACACTGAAGGTCGGAATGCCCCAAGTCGAAAAGAAGGTAGTGGGATCGACGGGAACATGGCAATAGACAATTTTCCACGAGACACTAGTGCTGGTGGACTTGATGAGGGCTTTGATGAGATGGGCCAACACCAGCAGTGTATCTCCTCCTGCTGATGAACTGCTAGTATATGTAGTAGGAGTAGAAGAGTATTGTCGCAATACGGTCATATAGGAAGCTCGCAATGTCGCAGGACTGTCGGCTTGGAGCCACAAAATGCGGTCGTCTTCCTTTTTTCTTGAGAGCAGCAAACGCCGAATCAAGTGTCGCTTGCCACAACCCGGTCGACCCATCAATGTCACGACGGGCGGGCTGGCCTGGAGTATTTGATCCACCAGACTTTGCTGACACGGCGTCAGGGTAGTTGATTCCTCAGTACTACTAGTGTCGTCATTGCACCAGGGACTCGTCGTCGTTTGCGCCTTGGTGGGTGTGGCGGATGTCATGGAAGACCGTCTTCGACCATGGTGATAGTGCAAAAGCTGGTGTTGTGGCTGCTGTTGACTGTTGGTAATGTCACGAGGAACCGACGCAGATGTCGACAGTGTTCTGGCTGGAAGCGTACGATCGGAATGGATCCGCTCACTGCTGCTCATGGACGCCATGGTCTTGGGTGTTGTGTCGTGCTATCGTCAAAATTAATAATTAGATCAGGAGAGTGTGAACTCATCCCACACTATAGTTCTACCGTACGGGGAACATGCACTTTGCTGATTGATGATACCTGGTAGATGCGAACTGGCTTCTCTATTTACTACTAGCTCTGTGAACTGGTCTGCACTACTGGGTCAAGGTTTCAATGGAACGGAACCAGGAGAGGTGACAATCAAGCACTGGTTTTGAGAAAATGGGTGATGCTCCGCGTTTTTGGCAACACTGGAACGAATTTTCTTCTTTCTTTTTCTGCTTCCGAGTGGTGCCGCTGGTGTTTCAAAGCATTAGACGTCTTGTTAACCACGAGGTCAATGAAGAGAACTCCGTTATGTGACGGTTCCACTCCAGCCGAACGTGAAAGAGGTGTGTCCGTCCACAGTCCACAGTCTCGAATATTAGTCTACTACTAGTAGTACTAGCTAGTAGCGTCTAGCTAAATCCTTTGGCCGCGCCAAAAGCGGGAGGCTTTAGTTGGGATGGTGATGCTGATACGTAGAGCCTGGAGTTGGGCAAAGGTTCTAACATGGGGCTTGGAGAAAGTGCAGTACCAGTAGTTGGTTACGGTGCATCATGGAGTTTGGCTTCGAGAAAGACTACTAGTACGGCGGCTAGGTCTAGGTGCGGCCGGGGTCCTGGACTACGCCCTACTAGAGTAGGCCCTGGAGTTACGTATCGATGGTCGGGGAACTGGTCTAGGAGAAGGTCGTGGGGTAGCTCTCTCTAGAGTAGACAGTGCCGGTATGGTACACATGCTGACCCTGGAATTGTTTGTTCAGATACAAAGTCCTGAAGCAGGTCCAGGAACGGAAGTGGGTCAGGTACGGTAATGGCCCTGCAAATGGCTCATGTTTTGGTTCAGAAGTTATTAGCTTGGCTACTATCGTAGTAGTACATGGCCTGTCGCTTTTGTGAAAATGGTCCAAGCCGGAGCAACCCTTTTCGAGGGTCTTTGAGTACCGTACTGATAACTACGATAACTCTAGAAGATTGAGCACTTTCCTTTTAGGGTTATCACAGTAACTCTAACAAGGTTTCGATTTCTTATGTTTTCTTAGGGATATCGACTGTCACTCCCACCAAACGAGCCGCTTGGCGATCCCTCTCGTCTAAGTGAGCTTCGTTCAGCAGCTAGATCGAGCTCTCTTTTTACTTGTCACATAGGCTCTATTGCTCGCTCCAACTCCAACTATAGCGAGGCGGAACCATCTTTCCCGTCGCTGGATCTTCGATTCTGGTGTCATTCGAGATTTCGACTCCGATGCTCTTTTTATGATCAATGAGGTTGGGTTGTTCCGGTGGTAGCTCTTCAGCTGTTCCGTGAAGCACGAGAACCGGTCGCAACAACATTGCCTCAAAGTCGGATTGATCACCAATCGAAGCAACATCACGTTGGCTTCCTTCCTGTTGTATAGTAGCTAGCTAGGGGGTTTGCTTTGCTGTGCTTGACTGCGCCAACAGTGCTATCATGTTGGATCAAGAGGAGCAGCGGCAGCAGTATTATCGCGTACAGCGACGACGCAATGACGAATTCGTCGATGCTTCCCAGCAACAGCAGAAGAAAGGGATGAATCAGTATATGAAGAAAAAAATCTCCAAGAGCCACATGCAAGTCATCGATAGTGAATCATCTTCCGGTCTCCATCGTCATCCCCCGCCGCAGGCGCCAAAGAGACATTCAACTCGTCGAATTCCGATCTCGAACGACAGCAATGTTAGCTATCCCAGCCGTTCTCTCCTAGATGATGCCAGTAGTGGTCGTACTTCGGCAGAGCAATCCCACAATTACAGTGTGCAACAATCAAAGCGACACGGTGAAGACAGCAATGAGTCAACGGCGTCCCGTACAGGTGATCGCACCAATTCCACAGGCACCAGTGTTGTCAGCAGCGCCGTCAGTGGCCGTGCCTCCAACATGAGTGCTTCCAACAATACTGATACTTCCAACCAGCCTATTGGCAGCAATGGATCCTTCACCACCAATGCCAGCAGCGAACTATGTTTGCCACTTCCCGTATCTAGAATGCCTCATGTCAAGAAAATATTCGGACGGGAAGACGAGCTCGAAGCCTTGCAAAAGCAACTAGACCAAGGAGCGACCATGACCTGTATTAATGGAACGGGGGGTGCAGGGAAATCACATTTAGCAATTCATGCCTGCAGGGAATGGCTCGAAGAAAGACCTCTTTCACGATTTGTTATATGGATCAATGCCGCCACGGAATGGACCTTGCGGATCAGTTACTTGGAGGCTTTGCAACAAGTTTTGATGGGGAAGGTCAAGGCGGAGGACGATGATGGTGCAGATCGAGGGGAAATCATTATCGTCGCCGAACTGTTGCACAGACAACTTGAACAGCAGAGGAGGAAAGAACTAGCCAAAGAAGCCGCAAGGGAGCAACGACGACTTCGACAAAACAACAACGTTAGCGCCGCTACTAGTACAGGCAGCCGACCCAGCAGCAAACAGAGCACCAACATGAACTCTGCCTGCCCTGTCTTCTCTCATGACACGGAAGATCTTGATGGCGACGATGCGACTTCTGCAATGACACCCAGTGGCTACGACGACTCGCTGGATGTCAAGGTCATGGATACCAAGACATTGGCAAACTTGTTGTGGGATTCCTTGCTGCAAGGGGTGTCGCAAGCATATCAATGGATTGTGGTTGTTCAAAACGTTCCGGGTGGCATGGGAGGAGTCAAGGGAGCTCAAGGACTGAAACCCTTCTTCTTCCCGACGGCTAGTACCCCAGTCGAAGAATGGATGCAAGGGCGCATTCTTTTCACGACACGCCATCAGGATTTTAAAGGGAAAACGTGCTTGGGGCCTATTCACTCGCTACGAGTGGGTCGGTTGGAGGAAGAAGCCGCAGTTTGCATGCTTGTAGCCAACACTGTCTTTGATGGGGATTGGGAAATGGGGCGCAAGAACTTGGATTCCAAGCGAAAGGACGAAATATTTGAGGACGCGAAGAGGGTTGCGTACAAGATGGTCGGTCCACATTATTTGGATGGCTCGCCCCTGATGATTGCAACCGCTGCCGGGCATATCGTCAGCACACAAGTTACGTTGAGGGATTACTATGCATTGCTGAAGCGTCACGTTGCGACCGTGTTGGAGGCTCGAGGTTACGGTAAAGGCAAAGTCCAAAGCAGTATGAAAAGGGAAGCCTCCATGTCCGTGTGCTTGGAACAAGCCATAGACAACGCAAATCATAAAGGCTTGACAGACATTTTGTCTTCGGCGGCCTTCTTATGCGCTGACAACATCCCGTTGCATCTTCTTGGTGGCGATGAAGAACGCGTTCAGTCTCTATGCGACTTGAACTTACTCACGCAAGTCGGAAAGGATACTTACGCGATTCATCGCATCCATCAACGAACCGCCGTGGACGCTATCATTGCCGTTGCAAAAAGCACCAATGGATCTGGCAGCTCGGCCTATGGCAAAGGCATCAATGATTCTTTGGGCTGTGATTCAGGGCAATCTGCGAAAGAAGAGTTCCTTTGCGCTCCTGATCATGCTGTCCGAGCGTTACGTTCTGCCATGTCGAACTTTGTTGCCGAAAACGCTTCTACATGGGGACGCGCTCGCTCCTGTATTCCGCATGTCGAAGCCATTCGCATTCATCATGACCTGCTTCACGGAAAAAAGGAACTCCCACCGAGCTTCAATCACAATTTCTATGCTGAAATCATCAGCAACAGCGCATCAGTAATGCAGTGGGCATTGAAAGATAGGCCTGCGGCCTTCTCAATGTTCTCAGAAGCTTTAAGGCTTCAGCGTCGCCTGTTCCGCTTGGTCCCTTCAGATGACATTATCAGCACAACCAACAGTTCGAATGGGAAAACAGACCTGGCTGCTGGTCTGTCCAAGACTTTGGCGTCGCTAGGGAATTTGTCAGAAGCAGCTGAAGTTGCCCTCAAGTATTACAAAGAGGCATTGGATGTCTTCCTCCAGGCTTTTGGAGACGACACCAAGTCCATCGAGCTGATGTCGCTTTACATTCTGCTCGCTGGCACTGAAGAGAAGCTTGAGCACAGCGACGCTGCGTATGATTTATACAAGCAGGGGCTTGAGTTATACTTCACCATCTATGGACATAATCAGAATATCTATGCCGACGACCAAAAGCTCTTCCTGGCCGAAACATTGCAGAAGATTGGCACTCTTTCTCATCATCAAATGCAACGACACGCAGAGGCGGAGCTCTATTTAGAGGGTACCGTGAGTTTGCTCCGGCATGTCTTTGAAGGAACCAACGAAAGGAGGGAAGATCTTGCAGATGCTCTTGAAACTCTAGGGAGCATATGTCATGCTCAAGGTCAAATTGAGGATGCAAGGCGACACTACAAGAATGCACTAAAATTGAAGAATTCAATTCAGGGCGACCGAAGAGACCTTGACATCGGCAACAGATACAACTTGAGCAATGACAGTAACGAAGATGCCGGAGTCGCGAGAAGTCAAGATGACACAACGAGCAATGCAAGTGGTTCGGAAATTGGTTCAGGAGTACGTCTTCAGACTCTAAAGAACGACAATGATGAGGATGTTTTCGACTTAGAGTTGGTTCAGGTCAGCAGCCAAGACCGCCATCGCATGACTGCTGTAAGAGACGTGAAGCTAGCCAAAACGCTTCATAGACTTGGTGTTTTGGCATGGAATCTTGGCAGCTTGAAACAAGCAGAAGATTACTTTGAGAAGGCGCTGGCATTGCAGCAGAGTGGTTATGGTACTGAAGCAAAGAACGAAGACCTCGCAATAACTCTCTTTTCCCTTGGAGGGCTGTGCAATGATCTACACAACAACCAAGTGAAGGCATGCGCTTACTACCGAAAAGCTTTGGACTGCTACTATTTTGTGTATGGTGAAGATGCCCAAAACGAAAGCATCGCCCAGCTTCTACATGCACTTGGTCAGTCGTCACAAGTGCTGAAAAAACCAACGGAAGCCAAGGCTTACTTGAAAAAGGTACGTGGACTGTGGGCACAACTTGAGACGAGTCGGTACACGCTCTCGCTCACTGGTGTATTTGCTTTTCGGTTCTGGTGACTGCTTTTCCGCAGGCGCTGGCCATGAAATACATCGTGTACGGTGGAGATGACAAGATCAACGCAGACTTGATGGCGACATTGATGGATCTCGGGAAAGTATCACGGGACCTCCAAGACAATGAAGATGCAATTTTCTACTACAGGTCAGCCTTGATGGGACTCTATTTCATCCATGGCAGAGACTCCTACAGCACAGAGATAGCCTCGACCTTGACGCAACTAGGTGGGCTCTCCTACAACTCTGGGCTCCTTGATGATGCCAAGGATTACTTCGAGAAATGCCTCCATATGAAATACCACTTGTACGGGCACGATGCGGTCAACGATGACATTGCATCTACCCTCAACAATCTTGGAAGTCTGAACGCGAGACTCAAGAACTACGAAGAAGGCTTCAGATACTACGAGCAAGCTCTCCAGCAATACAACCTCATCAATGAACAAGACGGTGACGACGACAACAAGGATGACATTGATAGCCACCGAGCACGTACTCTTCACAACTTGGGCCTGCTCTCATTCAATTTGAAGCAGTTTGATGCCGCCGAACGATACTATGCAGATTCACTCAAGATCAAGAGCGAAGTGTTCAAGGATGTGGAAGATTCGCCTGAGCTCGCACTGACTCTGACGAAGCTTAGCAGCGTGGAAACCAAACGAGGAAAGTTTGAGGCGGCAAAGTACTACCAGGATCAAGCCCTGAAGAGGTCACCCACCTTTCTTGAAACTCACCAAAACCTCATAAACAAATCCTTGCTGCCGGCGACGGCAGAAGAGGCTGCGGCATTGATGACTCTGATCCCCAACCATATCAGCCCGGAGACTGAAAACATGCTGAAAGGATTGGATTTCTGGAAGCACCAAGAAGACGAGGTCAGGGAACAGGCTTCGAAGCAGTGTTGGATTCCTTTTAAGAACAGTGCACTCAAGAGGAAGAGACCGAGACTTCGCCTGAAGAAGCTCCTTGGGCGTCGCTCTAGTAGTAGAAATGCATCTGAAGCAGGTTCAGAAGGCAGGCCAGCCAACTTGCAAGAAGCAGATCATGTCCCTTGAGTACTCACCTCTTTCGCTGCTTCACAATGCCTACTCTCACTACAGTACTTCAATGGCAAGGTCATGAGACCGCGGACTGGATGAGGCACAATGAATGCTTGGCTGGTCTGGCATTGGAGTCTTTCTCCAAGCACACCTACTCACCAAACAAAGCTGGATATGGGACATCATCGTAGCTAGCTAACTAGTGTCTGCTTTCAATATGCCCACCTTCCCAATCAACATCCTTGCTCGTCCATCATTTTACTCACTGTTACTTTTCCACCACCACTAAATAGGGCTCTAAATAGTCTGGCTAGGTAGATGTGCAACCAACCCCGCCAATAGAGCCCTCACAACTCACAACCACAGCCAGGCAGCACACTGAATGCCCCCGATCTGGCATTGAAGTCTTCCAAGCAAACTGCTGCTGCTTTCTCTTGATCGTCTTGGATAGGGGACTACAGCGTACTAGCTAGCACCTTCCCCAGCACTGAATATCCTCGCTCGTCACTCATTTTACTCACTTACTTTTCCACCATGGTGAAAACGAACTCAATAGGTAGAGGTACCAGCTACGAGCTCTGCCGGTAGAGCCCTCGCAACCACGCCGTCTTGGCATCGGAACAGTGATCGCATTATCGCATTATTTCAGGCCACCGTGGTTGTCATTGCTCTCGCAAAGGTACTAGCTAGCTAGTATCCCCTCCCTCATTGGTCAACGACCCGACGCACCATCTAAGAAGCAGACCGAAAGCAAGACTCTCGTTCTTCCCTTACAGGCTCCTCTTCCTCGCAGCTCGCAGCACACGAAAGATCTACCAGGTTGCACGAGGGGAAGCGATGTCAGGCTCGTGCAAGACCTTGGCCCTACCAGCACAAAGCTACGACGATGCAGTTCCTCGCATTGGTAACTGTTTCTGGTGACCCTCGCGACGACGTGGCCGTTTCAGACGAAGAAAGCCCACCTCCTCCTACTAGCTAGCTGGCCAGATCTGCAATCCTGCAATCCTTTTCGGTTGGAAAGGATCGCTCAAGATCGACAGGAATTACTAGTAGTTTAATTAATTTGCTTGCGCCACAGTCCACATGTTCCATGGAGCCTGTCCCGCTTTCGCATCCCCAGGTATTTTCTGCTCCGGTATCTTCTTGACCATTACGGGTTGCTCAGGAGCTTGGCGTTGCAAAAACGGAAACAAGCATCATCTGTGATGAGAGCGATCCAGAATCCTCCCTCTGGAACAAACAGCCGGGTCGTCTTCGTCATTGCTGGTTTTGGTTTGCGGTTTGCTGGTGTGGGGGACTACACGTGTAGACGTGTAGACAGCTACGAGTACTCGAGTAAGCTTCTTCCAATTAATTAAGCCTCTTCCAAGACCACCATCTTGTCTTGGTGTGTGACTGAAAGATTCAAAAGAGAACAGTCTTGGAGCTTCTTGGTGGAGCAAAGTGTTAACAGTATTCGGAGTAACTACATTAAAGGGCTTTAATTAAGTTACATGTACACTAAATAATTACCTAAGCAGTGAGTAACATTAAGTAAAGTAACCGCGTCAAAGGTTCATGAAGAAGACTGCCTTTCCAAGTTGAAGTGAACAGCTGGATATTCGGAGTTCAAGAATGACCTAAAGCGTGGTAAATACGAGTAATAAATAATTCATCAGAGTTCACGTCTTCAGTTCTCTACATTGAATTTTTTGACCCTTTCAGGCTGGGCGTGGTACTCACACTGTTTTAGCATGTGAGTATGGGTACTGAGTAGTACTCACAATTCCAAAGTCAAGTGAGTATGGGTACTGGGTAATACTCACAATTCCCAGGGCCAAGTGAGTACGGGTATCATGTGAGTACAGGTACTTTGTGGGTACTATAGAGTACTCACTGAGTACTCATAAATCAATTACTTAGGGAAATTATCTAGGTTTTTCTAGTTCTGGGCTGGGGGCTCATCAATCTTGTTGTAAATGTCCATCATGGCATTAATATCACTGTTATAATCCTCCTCTTCACATCTGCTGGCAGTTAGCTTGAGGAGATCCTTGGTCCTATTCTTAGCCCATTCCTTTCTTGCACCATTGATGCATTGCTTGTAGTTCTGGATGAATGCACTGTTCTTGTAGCAAAGAAGGCGCATTTGGAATGTCATGTCAACCTTCTGTCCATTGCTGAGTTTTCCATCAAACCATGTACAAGAACTGAAAACTCTTTCTTGGAAGCCGTTGCTATCTGGCATTGCAAAGATGCGCACAGCAACTTCAAAGATGATTGGGTGGTTGGTTTCGCTCACCGAGTACTCACCGAGTACTCACTGGTACTCACTTCGAAGTACTCACCGAAGTACTCACCGAAGACTCAAAAAGTACTCAAAATCCGGAGTCATGTGAGTACGGGTACTGAGTAATACTCACATTTTCTGAGGTCATGTGAGTATGGGTACTGAGTATACTCAGTACTCAGTACCCGTACTCACATCGAGTACACGCAGCGTGTATTTCATGTGAGTCCCACACCCTGCGAATTCGAATAAGAAAGGGAGCTGAAAGTTTCAGCTCCCTTTCTTATTCGAATTCGCAATCATCTTCTCTCGGAATTAACATGTTATCAGGACATAGTCACAGAAGTCCTTTATCGATGCCACGCGAATAATTCTTACCGTGAAGCTCTGCTTGGAAGAGCTTTTAAAAAGCTTTAAGGAGGCATTTGATGGACAGAGCCTGTGCAGGCTACGATCCCACAGTTTTACTGTTTACAGTACTCCAGTACTGAGTAGCACTCGTACATGTAGTACCGGTTATTACCGCTGATGCCACTTTGCCACTGGCTCATGATCCTCCACTCCTCTGTTCACTGAGTAAGAACTGTGGAATAAATTGGAATTATGCTTCAATCATGGAAATTGGTCATTCTTTAGCTCGGCGGGAATGTTCTTTATGTCTTGTTTATTCACCTGTTCTGATAGTGTTCAGAAGTGTACATAGCCCAGTCATTTAACACTCTTGATGAGAATTAAGCTGCCCAAGGCATCTGGTCTTAGTTTGGTGTCTTCAATGCTGGTATTTAACATGAACGGTCTTTGAGACCACGTGGTGACCCTCCATTGGTGCCAGTCGGTGTGCCTTTCTTTGCTCACCTCACCGGATCGTGTACCACCGGTACATCCTGGTACTGTAAAGCATTTGGCCATCATCAACGCGCAACATCTTGCTTGGCGGACCTAGTGTAGATTCCGGTACTCACTTTACATAACCCCCGGATCTGATGGCTCAAGCGGTAGTATCTTCCTTCCGGTCGCTTTTCTTGACCATTTCGCTCACAATTTCACAAACTTGGCGACTGCAAAAGCATAAAGCAAAGGAACCAGTCTACCTAGTTCCCAAATTTGTGGATTGATATCTAAATCTAAAAGCTTACTATTTCACACACTACCACCACCACCACCATGATGAAATCCTACCTATCATTACTCCCACTCTTGCTTCCAATCCTGTCTCTGGCGGCCGACCCCCCAGTGATCCATGAGTGCCAATTGACCTATTCGGTGGATCTGATCACAACTCACGAAGATGATGTAGTGGCGGAGTGTAACTCGACTCATTGGGAGGCCATCACCAACGCCATTCATGACATTGTCGAGTTGGATGTCATTGGATCCTTGTTGGGAACTTCTGCCCCCCAGTTTGTTGCAGCTTATCAAGCACTGGGAGATCATGCGCTCATGACCATGTTGGACCTGAACACGTCCTTGACCGAAGAACAGTTACTGATGCACACGGAACGAGAGGACATGCTGGAAGACATGTACTTTACCGGTTGTGGATTTGATGATTTCGAGTGTCAAGGAATTGACTTTGACGACACTTCCGGCAGTGGACGTCGTTTGGAAGATGTTTTCAATGAAGTCTTGGAACTGGCACGGAATGAACGAGAAGCCGACATTCGAGCCGATGCACGCTTGGATGCACACCAAAACAGGCGGCTCGTGGAGCGTGGACTAAAGGATGCCCACGACGATGAGGACCTGGAGTTGGAAGCAAAAGCGACTGAATGGACTCCCATGGGCGCTGCGCATCAAGACGAAGAGCACCGTCGTCTCGGTTTGGACTGTGGCAAGTTGGGCGATTGCAAAGCCAGTTGGTGCTGCCGCATCTGTGGCCACAACTGCCGTCGTCGTCTCCACGAAGATGCTCCCGCTCTGCGAGGTAACACCCGCGACCTGGAAAGCGTTGTCAAGCGCACGTACGGACAAGCCAAGAAGGGAAGCAAAGCCGAAGCGCTCATCAAGAAGTTCGAACGACGTGTCAGCCGTGCCATTCGCAAAAAGCTTCGTCGTCTGGCTCGAATTGACATGGCGCCTTGTCTCGGTGACTTTTGGGAGCTCGATGTTGTCTTTGAAAGACACTGGTTCGAGGAGGTGGATGTGTAAACCATACCAAACCAAACCAAGCACCCCACACCCACACAGCCAGCTGCATGGCTGCAGCGAAACAGGAAGCAAAGCTTGCCCGGGGGAAAAGCAAGCCTCTTGGCGTGTGGCTACAGAACCAAGAAGACTCCAATACAAACATAGATTCTCATGATCATGGCGCACCACTAGCTTGTGCATAACGACACTTTGTCTCTCTACTAAGCTACATAATTAAACATTCACACTACATCCGCTACATCTGCCGAAGGTTACTACCGTAACAACCTGCTATTAGCCTGCAAAATTCGAAGGAAGCGAATCGAATCTCTTGCGACCTCATCACACCGCCATGGTCGCTCCATTCAATTTACAACTCAAATCCAATTGCTTCCCAAGGGGGAACTCACTGGCCAAATTCGGTACAGTATCTGTTTCGGATGTCACGATCAAACAGGAAGACTGGTCCCACCGCTACGCTACGTCCTTTAATCGGATGCCACACTTTCCAGTCATCAGCAGATTCAGATGGCTTGGATGACCAAATAAATGAGCGGCAATGAACCGAAGATCCACGGAAGTCCTGAAGGTGCTGATGTCACAGATACTGGTAGTCTCCGAAGCGAGACCTGATGCCTGATTCGATTCGATTCGATTCGATTCGATTCATTCATTCCAACCCAACCACAGCGCCAGCCGCCGACGCGGCTACTAGCTACTAGCTACTGCCAAGGGAACTGTACTGTAGCAAGCTGCGGCTCTTAAGAAGATATTGCTAGCTAGCTCTGAAGCAATTTGATCAGGCTATACTAAGAAAAGGACAGCCCAGGAGAGGCATTCAAGTGGCATGCCCATCTGAGCCTTTTGTGCTTGCTTCTCTGAGGCAGAAGACTAGCTATACTCGGAATCAAGAGAACTGACAGGATGAGTTGTACTTTAGTTTTCCCCCCTCATTATGCTTTCTAAAAGATGGTGGCCCAAAGTCAGCAACCCATCAATCAAACAAGCACCAGACTGGTAGACCTGGAGGAGCAGGCAGCATTACTGTTGTGGCTGCTGGCTGGCTGCAAGCAACTGATCCTGTCCATTGCTTCATGACTGATAAATGAAAGTCAAAAATGCCACAATTCGCAAAGTACGTGTAGTACGGTACCAGCTAGCTAGCAGCACTACAGGAGGTGGAGTGGGCTTGTGTTGAGCCTATTTGTAGAGGAGTGGGTGCTTGAGTGTAGCTAACCAGAAGTGGGCCGGGGTCCTCGCTTGTCTAGCTAGAAATGAGCCATGGATTGGAGTGCAAGTGCACCCTTGTGGTGGCATTGGGGCTTGGAGTAGACTACACCTTTGTGCCAATCCAGGGATCTGGCTTGGCACGGATCCTGCAGTTGCACCTGGAGTGGGTGCTGGGGTGGAGCGAAACATGTGTTGGACCTAGCTAAAATAAATGAAGAAACCATGAGTGGGCAGGCCATGAAGATGCTGCATGCATTGGGGCCTGGACTACACCCTGGGGTGAATCCAGTTGTTGCACCTACCGAGCGTATGGTACGAAGAGAGGGGCCAGGAGTGGAATAGAGTCTGGAGGTGGGGTGGGGTTGGGGCTTGGATGGTCCTTGTGTTGAAGTCCTCAGTCGAATTCTGTTCGAAGCACCCAACCCCAGTAGTAATCAATAAGCTGAGGACAACTGTGGGTCCAGGTTGGTTCCAGACAAAAGTCCACGTTACGAGCCCACGTCTGAGAAGTCTTGCAAGCCCCCGACTGACCCAACGAAAGATCCCAAACGTTTTCGGTCCCTTCAGAAGACAGACAGAAGCACACAAATCCGCCTGAAGCATAATCCCAACCAACCAGCCACAATACAATACAATCCAATACAAACCCAACCAAAGTCTAGACACCATGGACGTCGAAGAATCCACCATCAACCTCGTGAGTGCCGAAGGCGACTCCTCGCCGGTTCCTCTTTCTGTTGCGAAAATGTCCGAGTTGGTGAGGAGCATGATGGACGAAGAAGCCGAAGACGACGACGTCAAGGAGATTCCCCTGCCCAACGTCAAGTCGCAAGTGCTCCACAAGGTGATTGAATTTTGCGAGCACCACCTGAAAGAACCCATGACGGAGATTGAAAAGCCGCTCAAGAGCAACTCCATGAGTGACGTTGTGCAGAAATTCTACGCCGACTTTGTGGATATCGAGCAAGTCTTGTTGTTTGAACTGATTTTGGCGGCCAATTACATGGATATCAAGCCTCTGTTGGATTTGACGTGCGCCACCGTCGCCAGTATGATCAAGGGAAAGACACCGGAAGATATTCGCACGACATTCAACATCACCAACGATTTCTCACCCGAAGAAGAGGCACAAGTCCGCGAGGAAAACAAGTGGTGCGAAGAAGCTTAAAGCGACGCGTTGCGTTGGGTTGCGTGTGGAAAATTTCCCAGTGACGAATACAAACGACGACGAGGCGAGGAATTCACAACAACAACGACACAACAATTACGTCTGGGGGTTGTTTTCTTTTCTTGGATTGTTCTCATTCCTCTTGGGGTGTCACGATTGCTGCTTTCGGCTCTCCCCAAAATAGAAGAAGCTAAAACAATAAAATTACTCAAAGAAAACATGGTCCATTCCTTTTTTTGTGCTGGCTACGGTAGTGCGCGAAACACCCATAGAGAACGGAACAGGCAGCCCGGAATACCCTTGCCTCCCGGAACAAACTCATCGACGGCGGTGAATGCGTCCCAGGGGGTGAGCAGAGCAGAAACACTAGGACACCAGCGCACCAGAGCTACTAGCACATGTATGAGGAGGCGGCATTGGCTACTATTTGGTTTGCTCAAGACAGCAGTGGCCGCGCCACTTTTTGGTTCGCTTGAAGGCTTGAAGATGCCTTCGTGCAACTCGCCTGGGAATGTGTTGTAAAAAATCGACACACATCTGTGACGCCACACTCCAATTGGAGTCCAATAGGGTACAGTACCGGTACTTGCTTGCATCGGAACTGTCCCAACATGGTGCATGATGGGCATCCTCAATCTCTCTTTGATGATGACTTTTGTCGTTCTTCTTGAGCTTGCAGATATATTCTAGTTTGCTTCTCGAGTCCCCGATGGATTTGCACCAACCACATAATGGACAATAGGAAGAGTCCCAAGATTGTCACGGGATAGAATGTGCCTTCCACCCAATGAATCGGGACACTCGGATCGGCATGTATCCGATCCCAAAACCACAATCCCAACCAAATTGGAAACAAAACCATGCGATGCGTGAGAAAGGTAAACAATAAGAGTCGACTGCTGTACAAGAACCATCGCTCTTTTCTCCATTCTGGGAAGTAGTCTTTGCTCAAAAAGACTGGGACCAAAAACAAATTGGTCAGTTCGCAACAGCCTGCCAGAGTGGTCCACCATCGAAAGCGGTCAAAGTAGAATCCGCTGGAATAGCAAAACACCGAAAACACGTGATGGGCCATCAATTGATACAACAGAGGCGGCTTTTCCGTCTGAATCTGTCCCATGGCCTGTACCAGGTTGACGGCAATGTACATGTTGGCAAACAGATCGCACCAATAACTCGACGATTGGAAGCGAGCGTTGCCGTCCCATCCCCAAAAATCAGAGTCCAAGGTTGCCACGTGGGAAGTAAAGATCAAAACCAGAAACGATGGATACATGGACAATTGACCCGCAATCCGTTGGAGCTTGAGACCTTTCCAATCCGTTACTTGTTGGAGTGCAAAGAGCGTCATGAAATAGCATGCCAGCAACAGTGGGATGTAGCACAGCACTGGTTTGACACAATTCTCCACCACCTTTTCCCAGGAGCCAGTGTCCACATGGGAAGACCCGAAAACCTGTTCCAAGCTCGCCATGGTCTCCCGAGTTAGTGGAACTGAAAGCGATGAATGGATGGTTGGGATATCAATTGGACGCCTTTGCCGTGAGGTTGGCTGCTTTTGTGGAATGAAGCTGCCGACACTCCTTTTAGGCAGTCTCCAAAGCGAATCAAATCATTTCCTTTTCGCGCGCACTTGCAGCTGTGGGCTTCTATGAATGACGGATGTGCTGTGGGAGCTTCGATTGATCATTCGAACTGAACGCCAATGATGATGTGCTCGTCTTTCTGCTTAGTTAAGTCTTTCTTTAGGAAGCATTCTCTCGGCCACGTGCTTCTGCTCCGTACCAGCTATGTAAAAAAAATCCTCGGTACCGGTACAACTAACTGTAGTACAAACGTGGACATGTACTAGTACATATTATTTATTTGTAAGACCGGCTCATTGTGGCTACAAATGCACCAGATGATGGTACTGTCGCTGGGATTTGAAAAGCAGGTTCATTGCCTTGGTTGACTGCAGCTTCAATGATGTGATTTGCGTTTCTCTGAAGTACCGGTACAGTTTCAATTCTTCTCGACGTCGTGGAATGTGTGGAATGCCTCTCCACCAAGTCGCTAAGACCAGGTACCATCATTGTTGCCGTTGCTTCACCGGTACCAGGTAGCCGAATTCAGCTTGATACGGTGTTTTTGCTTGTTGGGCGGCATGAGCTTGGTGAAAGTGTTGCTTTCTGGATGTTCGTCCATCCCACTAAAGGTTTGGGTTCTTCAGTGTCTACAAATACTGAGCTTTGGAATGGAACCTACTGTAACACTTGGGGTGCAGTGCACACGAGACATACACTTTTACGACGGCTTTGCTACCCAACTGCGAGCTTGGTGGGTCCTGTTATTAGAGTGATGTTCTGCAGTTCTGCACAACTCACGGGGAAATATACGTGGTTGAAGCCCCAAGGTGTACACTGTCTTGCGAGATCTATGAAAAAGAGTGCTTATCCACACGAGCAGCCTGAACTCACTTCATTGACTTTGACCGAAGCAGAATCAGTAGTCCCGGTAGTCACCAGAATGATTATCAATCCATTTCTTGGTATATTCGGACTCGAGCTTTTGCCAACGAGGTGGCCAAGCGTCAAACTCGGTGACATTGGGGGCGCTCTCCTTTGTGTGCTCGCCCTCCTTTGTTTTCTCGCCCTCCTTTTTCGCGGCCACTTTCTTGTCTTCTAGGCGCAGAGCTCCACAAACCCAAAGGATGTTCAACTTTCCGTAGAGAGCCTCGTTGCAGAAATTTGCATTTACATTGCCTTGATGCTGGGGGAGTTCGAATCGTTTCTTCTGCAGCGACGCCTTGACGCATTCGTCCAACTCAAGCGAGGAGATGAAATCGCTGGCGGCCTCTGCTTGCTTGCTGGTGAAGGCAATCTTTCCTTTGGAATCGCGATGGAAGAGGCCACCATCAGGTGACCGCGGTGAGACTCCAGGCAAGTACTTCACGTTGTCCTCCCAGGACCAAACACAACCAGGGCGTTTCCCCGGTTCGCCAAGAAGCTCATTCAAAACTCGTGCCTTCATGTCATGGTTTGTGTAGTTAAACGCAACCTTGAGACCCAATCCAATGTTTAAATAATCCTTGCGGTCGAGCAAGAATGGTTCCCCAGACAGAAGCTGCCTCGGGTCAGCCTTAGCCAAGTGCTCGATGAGAAAATATTGTCGTAGTCTCCCACGAGGCAAGCCGCCGCCGTCATGGGGATCTCGACTGCAGAGGTTCCGTCTCCGTGACTTGATGCGTAAGCCAGGACTCCTTCCACAAAAAGAACTTTGAAGGGCACATAGGGCTCATTGAGTGAACGAGCCACGTCGCAGACTGCATTCATGCGAGCCTCGTTCTCGCAAACAATCACATCTGAATCAAAGGTATCGTCATCCGATGCTTCCTTGTGCTTCTTGCGGACGGGGAGGAATCATCATTTTTGTTGTGCTGATCACCCAAAACCGCCAAATTGACCAGAAGATTGTGGGCTTCAAAAGGACCAAAATAACCCAAGCATTCCTTGTGTTCCCCGATGGCTTCCTCATCCACGTAGCAGCGATTGAAGATCTTCACCACCACTCCAAACGCTTCATGACTAAAGTCTTGGCATTCATATGTCACCACCGCTAGCGGATCCTTGCCTTCTCGCTCCGCCGCGCGATTGGCCCACTCTACATGTGCTTTGAGCATTCCAGTGAGATTGTCCACTGGCAACACATAGCTCGAGGAGGCATTGGCGGCACGTTCCATGGGACTCACGGCTTTTGTGACATTCGTATTTGGAAATGTCACGAGCAAGACGTGGCTGGACTGCTGCTTTCGAATGGCCCAGAGATTGGCCGTCAGAATGTGTTTGGTCCCCTTCTTCAAGACACATCCTTCATGCTCGAGATCCTTTCGAAACAAGAGCCCAGAGCCGGGCGTCGCCGTCGCAAAGGTTTGGGATGTGCCTCCAAAACCGTGGATCGTCGTCTCGCCGCCTTCTCGAGCGTCACCGGATGATGATGAGGGAGTAGTAGTCACACACACGAGCAAGGTAAACTCCTCAATCAAGTTGGACGTGAGGCTCAAATAATCCTTGTGGCGCTGGAAGAATCCTCCCTCCTCATACTTGATGTGGGTGATATCATTGCGACAGAGGGTATATTGATACGACTGGTCCGTCTGGTTGAGATGAGAGACAATGTTCGCCTGCCACAACAGTTACTCAAAATTCGTGAGATACTGCGTCCTTCAATACGACAAAGTTAATCTCTTCATCCAGACAAGGTTCACTACTTACGTCCACCAGATCCATCAGCTTTGGGTCGGTAATGGCTCGGAACACGCTTTGGCGGAGATCTTCATCGACAATTTTCGTCTTTGGCCGAGGAATACAAGATCGACTTCTCAAAGGGTTGTTGGCATTTGGCAAGGTGCTCCTGAAAGGGAGCAATGGGAAGATCGGTGAGGAATCGAACGCTGTCCATGGTCGGTTGATGACTTGCTGCTGTTGTTGTGGATAATGTCTTTCTTTCAGGCTTAGACCAAAAAGATTTTGTGATGGAAGAAACAGGTTTCGTCTCGCAAAGCAAGATCTGAGGTCGGCTTCTCGAAGCATGGATGAAATGAACAGCTCTGCTGGCGTCATTGGCTTTTCCTTCGAAATTGCCTCCGGCAGGGTTGATTTGTCCCAGAGTCCGTCCATTGACCGTTCGTTGCTGTTTAGTGAATGATATCTTGATGCCTCTGACACCTCAAGCAAGAACTCAGTCCGGTTTGAGGGTCCAGTACTCGACAATCGAGTATGGGTACCCGTACGATACGGTATACATGAAGTATACATGTATTACGATCGTAACAGCTGCCAGTCTACTGATCGATCTTGACATTATTTGGATTCCCTCCCAAAAAGAAGACAATCCACACCATTTATTTTGCTTGCTGTTTGACCATGATGTCTCCGCGCAGTCAAAAACCACGGTGGTTGCTATCACTCGTCCTTTTCCTCGCCTGTACCATTATCGGATGTGAGGGCCATCGTTTCCGGGTCACTCCTTTTCAGCGTTCTCCAACGGAGCAGAAAGCCTTCCTTGGTGGATCGTCGACCAAGGCTGTGTTGGTTCTTCGCGGTGGCGATGCGCAGGTCTCCAAGGAGTTTCTCTCGGATGGATTCCTTGGAATGTTCTTCTCAGGTAAGCAATTCGTGTTGTAATTGGGTCAATCAGCAAGTGACAGCGCTCTACTAATCAAGTGTTCATCCACCGGAATCGAATCTTCTATGCTGTAACCGATGCTACCGTACTACTATGCATGTAGTCAACCGCTTGGCTACGGGTGTTGTGTTTACGTTTCTGACAGGTTTGGGAATGAAACTGTTCCACGAGTATGAGGTGGAAACTCCGTCATCTCCGGCGAACAAGCTTATCCGGTTTGCCGGAATCAGCATGGTCCAGGATGGAATTCTTAGCATGCTTGCAATGAAGAAGGGCATTGAAGGAAGTGCTTTGAACCAGGCACTCGGAATCAGTTTAGTGCCTCTTGCAGCTCTGTTGCTAGTGCAAGAAGCAAGGGATACCACCAAATCCAGTGGCCACCGTCAGAAAACCCTCCTGATTGGCAGCATCCTTGGGGCTTGCGCCGTATCGCTCATTTCAGGTTCGGGTCTGCCAGCCAATGTGGCTGCCATCACACCCATCCTCTTGGTTGGCGTCTTTGATGCGCTATGCCTTTTCTTCCCGGAAACTATGATCACGCTGGTAGAGGCCGCCGCAAACCCTTCGGACCATCAATTTCGGTTCATGATTCGCGCCATTGCTACTCATTCCTTGGTTTGGTTGAGTATTTTCACCGCTCTTTGGAACGGTCAAGACATGTACAAGGCATTTGGTTACGGGACTCTCGCGGTTTTCGTGATTGGTTCCATTGTCTGCCTCGTCATCCCTGACATGCGCAAGAGCGGAGCTCCGACGGGCCCCATGATCCCGTTTCAAGCCATAAATGCGTACATTTCATACCGATTCCTCAAACCTTGAGTCGATCGCTAGGTATTCTTGATAATGTAACCTGCAGGAGCTTGGAGGACGAAAAATCCTACTGGACAATACGACTTTTGCATTGCAGCTTGGTCAACTACGATGTAGCTAGCCACCGGTAGTTCTATTGACTTGGAGCCAAGCCGATCGAGTCAACTATACCGGTAGTCTGCTCTGGGCATGCAGTCTAAACTATAATAATGTGGGCAATTGCCAGAATAAAATATCAATTTTCTGATTTCTCCGTATTCAAATGTTTTCATATTTCTCACAATTCACGTTTTTCCTGACTTCTCACAATTTCAATTTTCTCCGTTTCCTCACAATTCCATTTTTTCGTTT